GTCGTACTCCTTTAATAAGGGAGGCTTCTCCATTCCCCTAAGAACGGGAGCCTCCGTGATTTCTTGGGATAATGGATCCTGGGGGTCATCTTTTTCACTTCTCTCTAGAGAGAAGGAGGGGCACCGATTATAGTGGTGATCGTTGCGATGGCCTTGACCACATGGAAGATCCCTTGGCCGAGGATGTCCTTCTTTATTTCCTCTGTTTTTGTTGTTTCTAGGGGATTGTCGCTCTCTGCATGGTGGAGTGTGATTGCGTCTCCCTGTAGCTACGGGTTGGATCCTCTTCAATGCAGGACGTCAACCAGCTCTTCATATAAAAGGGATGTGCGAGATATCTCGCATGCGTCTCTGTGGGGGAGATTGAGGATGGTCTTTGTTCTGACGGGGAGGGGGGGTGTCCGGTCTCCTGTGTCTCCTGGGGGGCCGACGAGTCTGTTAGAGAATCCTTAGCCTCTCACCCTATGAGAAGATCAAGTAGTTTATCTGGTTAATGTCCGCGAATAGAGCTCTGATCATGGCATCGACGCCTGCGGGGACTGGGACCTCATGGAAATCATTTGGTTCATAATTCTGGGGAGGATGATAGTCGTCCTCATGCAGTCGGGAGCGGGATGATGAAGAGGCAGTCAATCTGTCTCTGTAGTTCGGTTTGGGATCGGCCATGTCGATGACATTGTCGGCGTTGTTGTTGCCAATGTTGTTATTGCCAACGTTGTTATTGAGGTCGGCGAGATGGACATTTTGGTTGTTGTCCGCAGCTCGGTTGGCCATGACAATCACATAGTTTGATGGAGATTTGCTGTAGTCTTAAGATGGAGACGCGGAAGCTAGTTTCCCATAGACAATGTTGTTGATCGTACCTGACCAGAAGGGATTGTCAAAGCCCACAAGCTTCGAGCCGAACAACGGTTGGATGTGAAGTGGGGGGAGTACCTGCAAGACACTTTGAGCTATACAAGCAAGTGTAAAATTAAGAATGAGAGATTGAATACCTGACCCTCTCAAATGAGAGGGTATTTATAGCCCTCAGCGCTGGGCCAAGATCTCCATCGTTGGGCTAGGCAAGCAGGCCCAAAATGGAGATTGTCAGGTCCTACGTGCGTAGTTGGGGCCAACACGTGGTCCCCAACCTGGATGGAATCGTCCAAACTATCAGGAGGATATGGATGCGTTCTTTCTAGGATCAGGGGGACTCTTTGATATTCGGAGGTGTTGAGAGTCAGCCCTACAGGGAGAGTGCTCGGGAGGTCCTTCTGCCTGTCATGGACTATCCCCGCCAGCTGTGAGTATGTCCCTGGAGGACTTGTCTTGGTCGAAAACAAGAGTGGAGGATGCTCGTGAGGTCCTCCTGACCATCTTCGGCCCTCCTCGTCATTCATGGGGTTATCCTCATAGGACAAAACCATGTCGACCAAAAGAGTGAGGTTACTGCTCGACCTAGTCGAGTGCAAAATCTGTCAGCATGCTTTCTCGTGTAACATAGTCAGATTGTACCTTGTATATTGTTTGGGCCAAGTGCAGGCCCAATCCAGAACAAATATGTTCAGTGAACCAAACTCGTTATTCTTTACTAAGAACACCAGTAGACAAATTGACATTACCTAGTGGGACTCTTTTATGCAAGAAATATTTACTTAAGTACAGAAGTATTGTGCCTTTTCTTGTTTTTCTTATTCTTCATACATGAAATGTTTAGGAGTGTTTACTGTTTATGCATCTGAGGAATGGTAAAAATATTTTGGCCCCACTGACGTTAGAAGACTTGTCCATGAATATTATCCACTTTGGCGTGTTAGTTGCTTCTAGAGTTGTCTCGGCTACAAATTTTACCAATATTTTGGTGTGGAAAACTGTTTTCCAGGTTCACATGTGATGTCGAATTAGAAAAGCTCCATGGTCTACTTTGTCATCCTTTGGCCGAAAATGGGTATAGACAATACTTGCCTTAGAATTTACATCATAACCCGGTGCAAGAAGAAGGAAGCTTGATGATAAGAATGGACCTATGATTATGATAGGATATCATAAAACTGGTGCATACAGGTTATTCAATCCAGCTAATGAGAAGATTGTGTTAAGTCGAGATATTGTGATTAATGAAAATTCTGTCTGGGATTGGAGTTCTAATAATGTAATTAACAAGCCATTGATGTGCTATGAACTCGACGAAGAAACTGATGAAGTTTAAGTTGAAGAAATTGCAAATATTCTAGTTGAAGTCGAAGAAGTTGCTGACATTCCCGACAATGTCGAATTTGAAGAAGGTGCGGCTAGCACAAGCCACCAACCTCAAAGAAATAGAGTTCTTCCAACAAGACTACATGATTATGAAGTGGTGGGTGATGATGAAGTTACACCAGATGGAAAATTAGTTCATTTTACTTTACTTGTAGGTGTTGGACCAATCAACCATAACGAAGCTTTAAAGATTCAATAGTGGAAGTAAGCTATGGTTGAAGAGTTACAGACAATCGAAAGAAACAATACATTGGAGTTAGTCGAATTGCCAGCACATACAAAAGCTATTGAAGTGAAGTGGGTGCTCAAGTTGAAACACAATGTTGATGGGTTGATAGCAAGACATAAAGCAAGATTAGTAGCTCGAGCTTTTCTTCAAAGAGCAGGACTTGACTACTCTGAAGTATTTGCTCCAGTAGCAATATTGGAGACTGTTCGACTAGTGGTAGCATTGATATATAATCAAGGTTAGTCAACATTTTATTTAGATGTGAAATCAGCATTTCTGAATGGTCCTTTAGACGAAGAGGTCTATGTCACACAACCTCTTGGATTTGTGATTCAGAAGGAAGCGGGTAAAGTATATAAGTTACACAAAGCACTCTATGGCCTCAAGAAAACACCTAGGGAATGGAATAAGAAGATCGACTCATACTTAATCGAATTGGGATTTGTTAAATTCAAGTCTGAGTATGGTGTCTATGTTCAAGTTGTAGCACAAGATATAACAATCATCTGTTTGTATGTCGATGACTTGTTGGTAACTGGAAATAGCTTGGAGAACTTGTCAAAGTTCAAAGAGATGATGATGAAGGAATTTGAAATGTCAGATCTGGGAAAATTGTCTTATTTCCTAGGCATGAAATTTCAAATGTTGAAGTAAGGTATGGTGCTACATCAAATGAAGTATGTCAAAGAGATACTCAAGAGATTCATAATGGATGATTCGAATCATGCATCCTCACTTGTCAAACCAAATGTGAAGTTGGAGAAGAATGAAGAGGAAGACAAAGTCGTTGTAACTTTGTTCAAGCAAATTGTGAGATCTCTGAGGTATGTGTGCAACACTCGACCGGATATAGCTTTCGCAGTCGGGTTAGTGAGCAGATTCATGGGTGAACCAAGAGTGTCACACATAAAGGCTGCAAGAAGGATTTTAAAATACTTAAAAGGATCATAGATTTTAGAATTCTATTTTGACGAGATTCTGAAGGAAAAGAAGCAATAGTTAATTGTTTTTCAGATGCTGATTGATATGGACATAAGGAAGATCGGAGAAGTACAACTGGATATTTCTTTCAAGTATTTGGTGCCCCAATCTCATGGTGTTCAAAGAAGTAACCTGTGGTGAAATTATCATCGTGTGAAGCCGAATATATAGCAGGATCATATGTTGTATGTCAAGCAATTTGGATCAGATCAGTACTTAAAGAAATGGTTGTCGAAGTAAAGAAACCTCTTGTATTACAAATCGACAACAAGTCAGCCATAAATCTGACGAAGAATCCAGTTCTACATGGAAGAAGTAAACATATCGAAGCTAGGTTTCACTTATTGAGGAAAAAGGTAAATCGAGATAAATTTGAAGTTAGACATTGCTCAAGTGAAACACAGTTGGCCGACATTTTCACCAAATGATTGAAGATTGACAAATTCTTGAATTTGAGAAAGAAATTAGGAATAGTTCTGATCAACTATGATTAACATAGGTTCGACAACTTGGATTATGGGTGTGTGTTGAAATATTAAAATAGATTTGTTAGATTAGATTAGATTTAATATTTCAACAAATCTAATCTGATCTAATCTAACAAATATCATTTTATCTTAGAATTCAACTTTGTTGACAAAGTGACTCCAAACACAAAAGAGGAGTGGTGAATTGTGTAATTCAAAATTTGAAAAATCAATTAGTAAAAATTTCAATCTAAAAAATTATGAAGTAAGCATAAGCAAACCACCAGAGAAATAACAGCGGAATAATGGAAAGAATAAAAAATACAGCATAAAGAAAATAAATAACTACAAAAATAAAGAGACAAAAAGAAGAAGAAAAATTACATAAAAAATTTATCTTAATTCCATCTATATCTTTAAGTCTAGAACAGAAACTCTGTACTATAGTCATGCTAGATCATTATGATCAAACACTTTTTACTAGAAACACACTTGAACATTAATAATATCTATCTATTGCTTCTATCAATCTAGTTCTAACAAACTCAGTTTGCAAGTTCAACATTATTGGATGGTGATCTAAATAAGATTTAGGAAGAGTGTATCAAGATATAGTCTTGTAAAAAAATCAATCTAATTAGTGATGCAAATGGCCCTATCAAGTCTCTGAGAAGTGTTGGCATTATCTTTCATACCACCTAATCATATATTATTTTCAAAATTCCTCTAGGAAATTAAATATACTTAATCATTGATGATCCTCAGACAAGGGGCAGATTCTCTTCCATATTTGGCTTCAAATGAAGACTACTTGTTTCTTTTCTATTAGATCCTTTACTTTCTTATTCAACTTCAAGTGTCCCTAAACCTTTGTTTTATTCATCTATATATCTTTTGGCATCTTTAAGAGGACCATAACTTCAGGAGATTTTTGCCTCTTTGTGAAACAAATAACTAAAAATCAGGAAACTCGTGACTCTATAGTTCATTTCATACCTATAAACTATGGACAAATTCTATTTAAGGTTCTTATATAGCCTTTGTGTCCCCGCGTGACGAGTGCGATCTTGTACCGTCTAAGAATGTCTATAGTATTTCCACCTGATGAGGATGGTCCATACATCGAAATAGAACTTGATCCTGCTGCTGTTAGCACCACAATTCACAATGATGCTGACAACAAGAATAGTTGCATGCATGAACATGACGATGATGATGTAGAACTAGAACACAGGGAAGAGTGCGAATTGCGCATTTCGATTTCATCAACCGTTTCTGTTTCCCTTCAAAAAGAGAGTATAAGTGTTGATGGTGCTGCTGAAATTGGAGTTTCAGTGACTGGGAAAAGTCCTCAACCAAGCTTGACAACACCGACAACGACAACGACAACAGCAAATGGGATTATGATGAAACTTATGATCAAGTTTCGATGTATAAAAATCAGATCATTCATTGCATCACTCATGAAACAAACACAAACCAGTCAAGCCAGCTCAAGCAAAAAGTCCATAACCTTTTTTCAATGTTATGAGGAGGATAGCATAAGTGCCCCTATGAGAAAGAGTAAAAAATTGATGGAGATGGATTTGGGAGCATTTAAATGTGTATTCAATGCTATAGGAATGAGCAGAAGATCAAAAAGAAGAACAGATGCTTCAACTTCATGTAACAGCACACCAACTCATGAAGGATTTTCAAAAGATAATTCCATTCAAGGAGCTATTGCCTATTGTAAAAGTTCATTTGGTCAAACATCTGATTTCACATTCTCAAGTTCAATTACCTCTACTCCTACTAGGTTTGTAGCATATCATTATTGATAGAAAGGAACATAATGTCTACTCCTTCTTCATCATGTTTCCAATCATACTAAGAAATTTTCTGATGGTTAATGTGTAACAACAAGTCAAAAAAACAAATTACTAATAACCATTTTAGTGAATGGACTAAATAGTTGCATGTAATAATAAAATGATAAGAATTATTGAGTATGGAATCGAAAAATTGCGCACAATATTATTGAATTGTATTTTTTTAAACTAATTGAACCGAAGGTTCCATTCAATGATTTATAATGGTAATAAAGAAAATTAAACTAAGATAATTGGGTTGAATATTCCAAAAACAAACATTATTACAAAATATAGACTTTTAGTAACAATGTATAACAAATGTAATCATGGTAACCGTGGTAATAATTCGTTTTTAAGCGTTTTTTTTTTTGTCATTTACTGAAAGACAATTCACTACAGTTATAGTTAAAAACTGTAGTGAAATGTACGAGGAGTTACAAGATTTAAATCTCAGTTTCAACAATTTTTTATTTATCATCACAAATATATTGACCTTATATATCACCATGGTTCGTTTGGTCAACAATGGTGTTAAGTTCAACCATTTCATCACGGTTGGTCTTACCATCCGTAATGAAAGACGATGCTTATTTATATGTAAGTGAAATTATCTCTTTGCTCAGTACATAACAATTGTTTCTCTCAAAAAAAAATTCTAACATATTTCTCTCTTTTCTCACAAGACAAAATCTTAACTTATGCAGTCACTCATCTCTTTTCTCTCAATACAAAACCGCAAACGTTTGCAGTAATGTCGTCTTCTTCAAACATATGGGTACCTTCAGGTTCGTCTTCACCAAATTTACCCATTGATTTCGTTTATGTTCCAAATTCTTTTTATATATTATTGTTTAGGTTTTAATATGTTGTTTCATAATGTTTTGACTTGTCTATGTTTATGTTTATGTTTATGCTTGTGTTAACTTGTTTATGTTTATGATTCTGCTTGTTTTAACTTGTTTATGTTTATGATTCTGCTTGTTTTGACTTGTAGGTATGAATGAGTGAATAATAAAACTAATGAGTATGAAGTTAAAGTGAGCTCAACAAATTTGTGTTAGTGCTGCAAACTTATCGATTAGTACATGTTTGTTACTCTCACTTCAGTTTCATCCTCATTTCCTTTCATTTGTTGATTCCATTATGGGACAGGTACGTTTCTGACATATTTTATGAGTTAATGTTGTTTTTGTTACATATAAGTTCTATGTTGTTTAAGGTTTGTTGTTGATGAATGTTGTTGTGAATATTTGTTTTAGATGAGTTTATTATATCTTATGTAGTTTGAGTGTTTTTCCAACACCTTATCAAATATATAACTTTTCGGATTGCATTAGAAAATTATAATAAGATGGATAAAGTTATATTTGAAAACAAGTTACATGTTCAATTCTATACAAGACTCCTTCAGTCCATTATCTGCATTTCGCTCTTTAACCGTTAGAATTTGATTTAACACTTCTTATTTTTCAACCTCCTCTTCATTCACCTCTAATTTAGTTTGCAATGCAAATAATATGATGCAAATAAATTATAGGTGAAGGAAAGGAGGTTGAAGAACTAAGAGCATTAAAATAAGCTCTAACAATTAAAGAGCAAATACAGATAAGGAGTTGGAAAATTTTTGTTTAGCATTAAACATGTAACTTGTTCTTCTAATATAACTTAATTTGTAATATTATAAAGTTCTAAATCAGACTGAAAGTTTATATGTTTGGTGAGCATTGGCGAAATAAGTATTTCACGTAATTTATAACAAACTCAGTGTATATATCACAATGGTTGTTTAGAACAACTGTTGTTAAAAGTTTTTCTTTAACGTATATCACAATGGTTGTTTCATTCTTCGCCGGGTTATGGTTGACCCATTCTTTTGTCTCTGTCTTTGAACAACAAGTTTATCCCACCAGACAGCTGTAATAATTTTTAGCCTGAACGCAACTATCTTAACTTGCTTGTTCTCAGGGACGTCCATAACGTCCAAGAACCCGTCGACGTCGATCTGCCAATCAAGAAACTCCTTCACTCCAATCGTTTCATAGAATAGTGAAATATCATTCTGCACTCGATAGTCATGGTTGTTGTGTAGATTCCCACGATCAACCTCTTCATCGTAAGCAAGTTACATATATATCTTTTATATTTTGTTAGCAATTTATTAAACGTTTGATTGTGCAAATTGATTAGATTAAAAAGATCCTTTGAGTGTTTAAACCAATTTGTTGTTGTTCTTGCAATCCCTTTGATTGCAAGAGATTTTGACTTCAACGAAGTTCAAAGGAAATTCTTGAAAATCAAAGTGCACATTAAGAGTTCGATAAATTGTCTCTATAAGCTTTTCCTTCAATTTCATTAGAAATAAGTGTTGCACCCTAAATTTCACCCCTAAATTTTTTAGTCGCATTATCATATCATATTTTGTTATTTGGTCACAATCTTCAATAAACATATTCATTCATCATATTTTGCATCATTAGTCGGAATTAGGTTGATCAAAAGTCAATTTAATTCAACATTTGCATTATTTTAAAGTTGAAAAATACCGGATATCTCATTTCATATATTTTTATCTCTTTACCCGCTTCTTGCATTGCATTAAGTTGTTTATATGTCGATAATATTAATATTTCGTTTTTACAGACAGGCTGTTAAAAACGATTCGATATTATGAGAAAAATTAACGAGAAAATATTTTAAATTTTCATCTTTTGCTTATCGTTTTATGAATCTGCGTTTTGCGTAGATTACAAGAGTATACTCGCTTTATTTTTCGATACAGTTTGAAGTCTTATTTTTAATCGTGAGAATTTTTCAATTACACATTTTTATTCTCATTTTATTTTGATTTTAATTATTTGAATTATTTTCTATTAATCTTTATGATGATTAATTTATTTTAATGTATTTATTTATTTATTTTAATTAATTTAATCAATTCCGCAAGCAATCCATTTGCAGCTGTTCATTACGACACCTTCACCGCCATTTCCACAATTCACCGATTCACGTTTTCCACCGTTCAACACCAGTCCTTCGTTCATCCCAACCTTCTTCCATTTCCTCTCACCGAATACTCCCTCCATCCGCGACTGCTCCACACACGTACGGTCACCGTTTCACTGCCATCACACTCTTCCGTAAATCACAGACTGTCTGCCACTTTGTTTTAAGTTTTTTGGTTTACTTTATTTATTTTGTTCTCACTTTTTAATTCTTATGTTTTCTTTTTTAATTTCCTTATTAATAGCCATGTATCAATTGATTTATAGTTAGATTTTATTAGAGTTTTGGAGTTTGATTTGGGCTTTTTGGTCCAATAAGTATTCTATTCCTCCCATTTAATTTTTACATCTATGTTTTGTTCTTCTTTTTGTTTTATTATTTCAATTTAGTCCTTGAATATGTAAGAATGTATAGACCGGTTTATCTTGTGGTTTTCAATTAAATTTATTCTGGCCATGTAGCTTACTCTTATTCTTATTTGTGATTTTGGTTAGTTTCTTTGTGCTGTGGTTGCTGTCTGTGTGTTTTATCTGATGTAGAGAATCTTATCTGATATCTCGATGATCATTTGATGCTTTATTTGACACCTTGGACTTACCTGATGTATTTCTCCCACTTGTGATTTATTTTCACCGGATGCGCTTTCTGCTTGTGATTTATTTTCACATCATGTCTGATATACTCTTGTCTTATTCTTTGCTCGTGGCTTGAATTCAAAGGGATGAGAACATTGTATTGACTTTATTATGTTAAGTATTGGTTTCTTCTTTGGTTAGATTGTTCTTTACCTTTAACATTTACCTCTTATACATAGGATATTCCCTTCATCTCCTCCTATTCTTTAAGTTTCAAAACATTCTCATCTTTTTCAAAATCTTCTTGTTTTCAATAAACTGGAACCGTTTTCATAATAAACCTCGACTATTTCGAGTGACTTTTCAAACTTCTTTTCTTCTTTAAACTTCTCAAAACACTTAATAAATACTGAGGAGAATCACAATTTCATGAGCCTTAAGAAGTGGAGAAGGATGAGTGGGTCTATTCCTGAAGTTTGTCCTTCATTTCATTCATAGTCTTTTGTATGGTTCAAATCACAAATTCTTTCAAAAAGATTAAAAAACATTCAAAACTCATTCAAACTTTGTGTCATCTCGCACCTTTTACCCTTTAAAATTTTTTAAGATTAGACATGATTCATTTATAGTCGAGATATCATCTTCCTATCCTCATGGTTATAAAAGTGTCAACTTTTCCACTTGAGTGTCAGAGACATTTCCAAACGCTCCTCATGTTGACGCACAGTCCATCTTCCTCACCCTTTATGGGCGATTAGTTGAGATTTATCTCCTAAAAATTACGACTTGTCTCTTCATTTAAAATCAATCAACACATCAAATTTTATTTCATTTTTAGCCGAACTACGGTGCTCTGACTTTTCCATTACATGAGGGAGTACGTAGGCACTAGGTCTCTCGACCAAAGGCGAGTGCAATAATAAAAAACATTTTTGTTTGTAAATACTCTTTCATGCATTCTCTTTAGCAAGTTTAAGCTTTAGATAACACACATTTTGATAAGAACAAACAAAGTGGATCCAGCGGAGTGTCGTAGATTTTTAGGATGCTGATATCTTTCCTTTACATAAATGATCCTTGTACCTTGATCTATATTTCATTGTGAGTTTTATTCGCTCTTTTTCCCTTTTCTTTTGGAAACAATAAAGTATGGTGGCGACTTTATTGTGTGAGTTAAGTCAATTAATGACTTAGTCTCAAATTTTTACCGCTACATTTCGCTACAGAGTGACAATAGGTTACTTGATAAATGTAACCAAATTATTAATTGAGAATTTTCAGTTGCTCACTTATCATCATTAATTAATTTGAATTGATTGAACGCATATCCGGGCTCCAATAATCGATTCGTTTTGAGGACATCGATCTAGGATACAACTTCCGCTAACC